TAAGAAATTAAGAGAATAATGATGATGTGAAGGCCTTAATGAGGACGGTAGGAAGAGAAATGAATGAGAATCATTACGGCTGGGGTGATATGAGCATAAAGACAGGGAGGGATGGCCTGGGTTATAGAGGGTGACACATTTAAGTTTTACTAGTGAATAGCTGTCTCTTATTGGTTTTGTATTACTCTTTGAAACCACACTTGAAGTGCTGAGTCCTATGCCATACACAGAGAGAGGAAGCAGAGGGAGAGAGAGAGGGAGAGGGAGAGGGAGAGGGAGAGGGAGAGGGAGAGGGAGAGGGAGAGGGGAAAGGGAGAGGGAGAGAGAGAGAGGGAGAGAGGGAGAGTGAGAAGGAGAGAGGGAGAGGGAGAGAGGGAGAATAGTAAAAGTTAGTTGGAAGAAACAATGCATTGTACAAGCCAAGTAAATACTGGGGAAGTCAATTACAAATCCAATTTCATTTGAGAGACATCCAGAACAGATAGGATCTGTCCCACGTTGTGCTGAATACACAAGAAGTAAACTCCAAATAATCTAACTTTTTCAAAAGAACCGGGTACTCTCTCACAATTCAAGGTGATCAAATGAGATAGTATATATATATATACCCATATATGTGTTCATATATATTCATATATATATATATATATATATATATATATATATATATGAAAATAAAATAACACAAGAAGAAGACCAGTTGTGAGACATTTTCTAGAAGAATGAATCATTATTTAAGGACTAAGACTTTGTTGTTATTGTTGTTGTTGTTGTTGCTGCTGTTGCTGGTGCTACTGCTGCTGCTGCTGCTTTATGGAGAGTACTTTGAATTATGACCAAAATTCAGTACTGGATTCAGTTTAACCAAATGGCTATGTGTGTCTGACAGGAAAACATTGAGGCTAATCTACTAAGGAATCATATAAAAATGAGTTCTCAGCAGATAGATAGATAGATAGATAGATAGATAGATAGATAGATAGACAGACAGACAGATATGTAGATAGATTTTCTCTGGATCTTTCAGTTTATAGCCTTCTAGAGAAGAAGAAGAAGAGGTCATCTATACTCTCGGTTAGTTATGTAAAACTCACCAAAGCAAGTTGAAGGACTGAATCTTCTTCAATGTCAAAACAACATGCTCAGTTTTCTAGCATTTACTAATATCATAACTGGTTGTTAATTAAAAAAACATAGAAATCATCAAACTGCATACAATAAAACCACAGAAGAGTATATGCCTACCAAGAAATAAAATCCACCATATCCCGCAGATTTTGGCAAAAGAATGGCCCCCGATGCTCTACAAGAACCACAAGAATCATTTTTTTTTTCACTTTTTAAGAGATCATGGTGGCTTCTCTCTAAACAAGGCTTTACAGAAAGAGAACATCTATTTTTATTGTCTTCTGTCACTTTGGCATATTATAGACCCAATCAAAGTTTGTCAAAGAAAAATAGTCTCCTTTTCAAAAGTGAATAAAATGTTCATTTACTTTGGGTAAATTTCCGCCTTCAATCCGACCATCTGGATCTAAATTAAGGTACCCTACTTTGAACATGGGTGTGCACACCATCTGGCTACCCAAAAGCGGCAATTACTTCAGGTAAATGAACATTTTGCCTAATTCTAAGCAAGCGTAGTCTCCTGTAAGAGACGATGGCATAAATACACATCCCTTTTATCTGCCTGACGCACATGCACTTGGGGGGAAAAAAAGTATGTGTTCTTCCTAAAGGTGATAATTTATTGTATGTGTATAAACATCTTAATTTTAGGATAACTTGCTGTTTCCAGTATTCAACAAGTGACAGGCTTTCTCCTAGCCAACTGAAGAAATAAGAATGGAAGATTTGCTTGTGGTTAAGGAATCTTGGGCTTCACTGAGAAGTTTGTCTACTGTGTAGGGAAACACAGTCTTCCCTGTAGACTTGGGCCCTCTGCAGCATGTAGTCGAGGATAAAAACTTCCATGAGTCAAAGGATACATCACAACACACAGACTAATCTCCCTTTGCCAAAGCTCTTTCTTATTGCTGGATCAGTTGGTACACACCTAGAAATCCACACCTCGGTGGCCTAAGGCAGGCAGCTCATCAGCTGCAATCCTGGCATGGGACTCTTTCTCAAGAAAACAAATGAAAAGGACAATTCTTCTGTAGGGTCTCTGAGAAATGGGGCAAAGCTAAGACTGATCAGTTAGTAAGTAGCTACTGCTTCTGCAGGACTAACCAAAGCAAAGGAAGCTGTGGTGCAGCCCTTTTCAGCATTTCAAGTTTCTCAGTGTAACTACTGTTGGCAGATGAAGTATTTGTTTTCATTACAGACATCATCCTATAATTAAATTGGCAAAAATGATGATTAACTAAAGATCAAGATCTGTAATCATTAATCAGATGAAAATTCTGAGTTTGTATCTCTGTCCTTTTAGAAAACAGGTTTTTAAATGCCAATTTGTGTTGAATTTTTAGGACAAAAAAATCATTGTCAATACAAGGCTGTCCTCCAGTAAGTTCTTAATATTGGTCGGTGTTGAAATCCTTGAAGTAGCTACAGTAACAAGAACAACAAAAGTTAATGTATAAAATGTTGGTATACTTGTGAAATTATTGGCATGCTTATAAAATATTAATTTCTTCCTATCTACTCCAGACATAACAGTCAATAAATTTTAACATTCACTTTGCTATTGGGGTTGGAAGACAAAAAAAATCTTTCTCAAAGACTGTATTTAGAAATAAATCCATCCTGAGATTTCGCCAACATTGGGATCTCGAATTTCTTTTAGATAGCACGTGCACTTCAGGTTAAACTTCCAGCTGAAGTATTTACATCTCTAGGGAAAACTGAAGGAGAAAGTCTGAATACAATCATGGACCGTGGGCACAAGAAATCCGTTACAGGGCAAGCGGAAACATCTGGTCGTTTTTTAGAGTCCTCTTAATTTGAAAGCACTGACCAAAACAAGCTGAGTTCTGCCAAATACATCTTGGCATGGCTTAAGAAAAAAAAAAAAACAGAATTTGAGAGGGAGTATTTTTCTCACCATGGTAAGAGTTATCGGTGATGGTGTGCAACTCCCTCTACTGACATTTTGACATGATGAGCCTGGTTCCAAGCATGGCAGGCAAATCTGCCTCCTATGCCTTTTCTGCATATTTTATATAATCTGGAGGGGCTTAAAAAATATTTTTAATCTGTAATCTGTGTTAGAGGAAGTGGTGGCAAAGGGTTTAAATTATCCATTCCCCATCTTGGATGTTAGGAAATAAATGATTTATGTATTAACTCACCAGAAGGTGTACCTGTCACACTACCACTAACACATGGAAGGGTTACGTGGGGTGACTTCACAGCACTCAATAAATAATGAAACTTTTGTACACTTCTACACTACAGTGAGGTTTTCCCAGCCTCTAACACAGTAACTGTTTCTGAGAGTCTCTAAGTACCTTGAGCTCTGGAGCAGGGCTGGGTAAACCAAAGTTCAAGTTCCCATTCTCTAGCAACAATCTGTTGACCTCAGGTGCCCTGGGCTGCTCTAAGCCTCAGCTTCTCGTTGTTAAAAAGACTCAGTGAAGAAAGAAGAGGCTCTGCTTCTTACTAATCACCATCCTACGTATTGGTGATAGTTTCATTTATGAGTTCAATCTGGCTGTCTGTCTGCCCTATAGTCACTTAATTAAACGAAGTTATTTTAAATGCCATGAAAACAGGATTCATTCACACATTCATTCAACCAGCGTATGTGAAAGCTTGCTACCACAGGACACTCATGTGAACTCTGGAGCACTACATGACAGGCTTTGGGTGATGTGCTTTTCAAGACCGTATTGATCGAGCCTATAATGGAGAGAGTAGTGCTATTATTATCGCTGAGTTAGAATTTAAAAATATGAGCTCTGGGACCAAATTATCCGGGTCTCACTTTGTGCTCTAAGTCAAATGATGATTTTCCAGGGCTTCTATTTTCCCCACATGCAATACAGAGAGCGCTGGCGGTTGCATGGTTGCGTGAACCCCATGGGGATCAAGTAGAACTTAGTTTACCAGAGGTGGGCAAGCAATCAGCTCTAGAAGCACCTGTCAATTATGAGCAAGAGTCGCCTACTTCGACTCTATCTTCAAACTTTCACAACTGTTGGAACCGGACACAGAACTGTCGGTTCCGGAGCCCCAGCCTCTCAAAAAAGAAAAAAAAAAAAAAAAACTAGGAGAATGTAGCCCAAATCTAACTCAGCAAAGGCGTTGGAGACTAACTGCAAGCTTTCCCTCCCTTCTGGGTGTAGTCATTTCTGTTGGCAGCAGCTGAGGAACCAAATGGAGCTAGGAACTCTCAGGAGAGATCAAAGTGCCTCAGAGGGTCCCTCTCTCTGATTTTGATCATGGCAACTGCCGCTCCATTCCCCCCTCCCCCCCCCCCCATCCCCGCCCCTTCTTTCCCTGCAAGTTCTCTTTGTGCTAAAAATTTCAGCTTGCAATTTGGGAAAACTTTACAAAGCCAGAGCCTGGGCTTGTTCTCAATCTCCCATAGTCAAGGGAGGTGGGCTTGTCAAGGGGAGGGGGCGTGTCTGCCTTAACCTGATAGCTGGGTACCTCTGCTGCCTAATCTTTGGTTATCAACTATTGCCCTCCACTGTAACCTGGAAAGTTGTTTTCTACAGTTGGCGTCATTTACGAACTGCAACCTTTAGGAAACAAGCAAAAGCCCAGATGACTGCATTACAAGTCTAGAGGAGGAAGGTCCGACCTAGAGGAAAAGCAGTATTCATCTTTTGGTATTGCTGAGTTTGTGGACTTAGCAATGGTGAGAGGCCAGGCATCAGAGAGACCCCTATGGTTCGAGAGGACCATCCCACCTCACCTTGGCTTCCTTCCCCTAACCCCGGGCCTCCTGGATATTAGAAGCCAGCTGGGTCCCCGAGGTTGCCGGGCGCTCACTCAGCTGTGCAAGCCGCCTGGCGGGGTGGGGCAGCGCGGGGCACCGCCTCCCTCCATACCTTCTCTCCCCGTGGATCACGTAGGAGCTGCGGAAGAAGCCCAAAAGCTCGTTCTCTATCAGGGCATTGTAGATAATCTTCAGATTGTAATGTCTCTGCGCGTCCAGGGTTCTATTCAGCACCACCACTAAGACCTGCGTTTGTGGGTAGAGGAAAAAGCCTGCTACCGGGACAGCCCCGAACGCTCGGTCTTCCGCTACTTGCACCTTCTCCACCGCCACCCGGGAGGCGTGCAGTACCACGTAGCGGGTGGCGTTCCGGCACGCGATCTCCACGTTGACCTCCCCAGAGAAGGTGAAGTTCTCCATGAAGGCGGTGAGCATCAAATTGTAGTGTAGCGGCTTGAGGTGGCCAGATAGGCGCAGCTGGGTCCAGGGCTGCCACTGCTCCTGCTCTTCCTCCGACGGCGGCTGGGCAGACGGGGTCCCCGGGGTGCCCACCTCGCCCGTCTCTCGCTGCGAGGATTCCCCACCAGCGTGGTGGTTGCGCCGGGCAGAACCTGGGTAGCTGCTGTTGCCGCTGCGCTCGGGGAAGCCCCCGAGGCCACCGTCGGTGCCAGGCATCGCTGCGCTCGCTCCGCACTCGTCGAATCGCAGGCTGAGCAGTACGGCCAGCATGGTGACAGCCAGCAGTGCCACGATGGACACGGCAAAGGCTAGCACAAGCCTCTTGTGCACTGCGATGTGGCGCTCCGTGGTGCGGGGTCTCACTCCCACCGAGTCAGCCCACGGGTCCGAGAGCCCCCTGCCGCTTGCCCGGAGCGCGGCGTCGTCTTCTCCCATGGTGGCCGCAAAGGGTGCACTGCTCTTCTCGGCCCCCTCCTCCTCCTTCTTCTTCCTCTTCTTTTTCTTCTTCTTCTTTTTCTTCTCCTCCTCTTGCTCCCCCCTCTCGCCGTCCAGGGCCATCACACCGCCTCCTCCTCTTCCCCCGCCCCCTCCGACACCCCTAGCGGGCGGGCCACCCGGGCCACCTCCAGCGCAGTCATCGGAGACCGCACGCGGGCAGAGGGCGCGACGCCGGCTGGGACCCTAGGGAGACCAGCTCAGATTCTCTTAAGACAGACTCTGGAGGCTAGCAACGACCCAGACGACCCCCCATCAGCCCCGCCTCTCTCCAGACATCAGCTGCGGTTAGCGGGGCAACCAGCCCTGGGACGCGCCCAACTTGGGGAGCGTGTCGCTCGCCGGGTGCGCGCTACTCGTCGGGCTAGCACCGGGCGCCCGGGCACACGCCGCCCCCGCCCCTGTGCGCCTGCGGCTCGCGTGTCCTCCCGGGCGCCGCACTCTCCCAGGCTGCCGGCGGTTGCTCTCTCAACGGCTCGGCCAGGAGGACAGAGAGCGCTGGGGCGAGCCACCGAGCCGGGGGACAAGTTAGGGCTTCACCCAGCTCCCCGCACTCAGGCAGCGTTCCGTCTTCTGGGTGGGATGTGCTCGCAAAAACAGTTGCGGCGGCGGCGGCAGCGGCAGCAGCCCGGAAGGCTCTGGAGCCTTCCACTCTGCAGTGGGAAGGGAGAGGATGGACCAGAGGACCGAGGAAAAGACTGGAGTAAGCTAGCCGGAGGAAGTCCCACGGCTGCGGAGCATCCGTCCTGAAGAAGCCTTCTCCACCCTGGACACTTTAAGCTGGGGTGGCGGTAAGAGGCGTGAGGTTGAGGACTGGCCAGCAAGCCTCCCGCGTTCCAATGTTGCTCTGCCCTCCGAGAAGACAAGTGAAGAAGTGTCCGGCCGGGGCGTCCACTTCAGGTAGATGAAGGTCTGAGTCGCGTCCCCGGGGGGAGAACTGAAGTGCGTGTGTGCCAGCGCGTGTGCATGTGTGCGCGTGTGTGTGCGCGCGTATGCGTGTATGTGTGTGTGTGTGTGTGTACAAGGGCTCCTGGTTTAGATTGCCAAGGGTTACTCCAGCTGCATTCAGGGACTGAAACTCTCCCGGAGAAACGGGAAGGAGAGAGAGGGAGCGAGCGAGGAGGAAGGGAAGGCAGGAGGGAGGGGAGAGGTTTAGAGGCAGAGGCAGGCTCTGGGAGATTAGAGAGCTTTTCTCCGCTCTGTCACAGCAGACACCCACTGCCACAGAGGGGGTTGCTGAGCTGCCTGCAAGAGTACATTGTAAATCTTCAGTGCAACAAGCCCGGCAGTCACCCCTCTTCCGACTCCTTAGCCCCTACTGCGGTTTCCCAGAGGGACCCGCTGGAGCCTTGGGCTATTAGCATCAAGAGCAAAGGCAGAGCCTGCTGGGGAGACAGTGTCAGATCACACTTCAAGCTCGCCAGAGGATTTGGATGATTGTATGCAAAATTGAAATAAATTCTCCAAAGCCTGACGGCATATATTATACTGGTGTAGTGAATCCAGGTGGGCAGCCAGAAATAATGGATAGTAATGAACCGGTAGAGTCCTCCATAAGTAAAGACTAAGGACAGGAGATCAATTCCCCATAGGATGCGTTTTATTTTTAGATTGAGGAAAGAATTAAAACATGATGCCTACAATACAACATCCGAAAACGAATGAAAGGAAAACTGGGAGGAGGAGAGGCTGGAGGCCTCATGACTTTGGAGTTTAGTAGGACAGTGTATCCATACATCACGTGACCGGTCAGCATCTTACTTCACCTAGGTGACATTACTGTTTGCAACTCCCCTGTATCATCATGAGAAGAGTTTAAACTTCATTATAACAGTTATGAGCCCCAGTATATGCTAGCAGGAAGAATCATCAAAGCACAGTGCATAGCCTGCTGGCCGCCTTTGGACTCTCAGGAGTTTGTTGGAGTGCTCCATTAGAGTGTGTGTGTGTGTGGGGGGGGTGCTATCGAAACTTAAAAATGTGACTAAAACAATGCTTAGAAAGACAGCCACCTTGAAGGCGACAGTCAAAGAGTTAATGACTGGTTCAGTCAATAAAAAAAAAAAATGAAGAAATGTCTCTTTATATGTTTCTTTTGTTTCTTTAAATCCAGACTGTATTTAAGTATTCATAGCCATCATTATTTTCCGTGTGTGTGCGTGTGTGTGTGTGATATGCTATTAGCTTTGGGATACTGGGGAATGGGGAAAGGGGATCACATCTGAAATGTAAATAAATAAAACATTGAATTAAAATAATATTGATAAAGCCTGGCCAATAAGAAGAGTTCAATTACACAACATGAACTCTAAACTGGGAGCCTTGCTTACGGAAGTTCTTTTCCCTGTATCCTGTAGATGGAGTACTTGCTCGATACCATTTTTTCTAAAAGTCCTATGTTGAAGATAGGTGGCAGGGTGGGTATTTTTAAGCACGTTGTATGTGGGCCGTCAACAACAGACCAGGGGAAATGCCACATTCTGTTCCAGTTACTTTTTTCTGCTCTGTTTTTGAGCATCTTTGTTCTTGCTTTTTTTCGTATGGGTTTGGCTACTGTGAATTTTAGGAGTTGAGAGCTGAGGGGCTAGATTGTTTTCCCAAAATTAGGAAATATGGTTTAGTAAGCCCAAAGAGCACCTGAACCTCAAAGAGTTCACCATGTTCCTCGGTACTTCAGGGCTCCAAGCTAGACATTCAGGAACCCTTGCCTAAGGGAAACAGATTACCAGCAGCTTCCAGAATGAGTCCTGAGAGTCTAAGCACCACTATCTAATGAAGAAACAACCCTCTAAGGGGTGTCTGAGGCTTTTCTGCCTCTCACATGATGTTAGTCATGGACACTACAAGGCCTTTTACGTTTCGTGTACTCATGAAAATTACTGCTAGGTTACTCTCAAATACTTTTGCAATTAAAAAAAATAACTTGCTGATTAGAAATGTTTCTCCTGACTGATTAAATTAGCAAATGGATTGTTTTTGAGATACGAATGAAGCAAATTCAAGTTTATTAACATAAAGTGGGCACAACTTATTAGCTTATTGATTCCCATTTAGTGTGGTTTTACCCAATAAACTGAGTATCAAAGATCAAGTAAGTAAATATTTGTTCCTCTCCTGTTAATATAACAGTGATTTTTTTTTCTTTTTGTAATTTCTGAAAGTGTAAAGAACCCAAGAAAGACACATTGGTGGAATAAATTTTTATATTATCTTCCAAGGAAAGGTTTACCCTACTGCAAACCAAAACCAATAGAGAAGAAGCAAGGTTTCAGATTGTGAACCTAAGAGGAATATTGAAGGAATTAACCACAAATACTTGGTTTAAAAGTTGTCGTTAGCATTTAAGCTCCTTGATTAGTAAAAGGTTTGGCTTCTATGGTCCTAGAATCGTGCAGTGTTCTTCACAAGGGAGACGCCTTCTTGGTGTTTGACACTTAGCAAGAACTATTTATTTGTTGTGAGAAGTTCAGGCTTATTTTTTCTTTAACTGTCATTAAAATGTTGTCCATATTAGATCTGGAGACTTATAAACGTGAATATATCTGAGTGTTTAAAATTCACGGAGCCCACCAGACATTGATTTGAATCAAACCTGCACTTTGATGCTGCCGATAATCAAAACGAACTGTCTTCCATGGAGCGATGGTCTTTACTCTTTGGTTGTTTAAACTTGGACTGCCTTTTTTCCCCACGCCGATTTGTATGTACATGCACAACTTGAGTGTCCTTGCATACTCAGTCTCTGAAAGTGTGATCAGCTTCTTCATGTCTAGAAACTGCTTGGCTGGGAAGAAAGAGCTAAGCCCCACTCAACCCTCCTAACCTTTTATTATCGTATTCCCCCTTACTAAATCAACTCAGTTTCTTGGTGTGTTACTATCAGAGGGTTCCAGGAAGGTACCTTTTAGCTCTCAGGAACTAATTTCCTCATGTTGCCAAGAGGTATTTAATCTTCTCCATGAAAGACAAACAAAATTTAAGCTGGGGAGACAAGCTCAATCAGTAACATGCCTACTTTGCAAACACAAAGACCTAAGTTGCATTTCCAGGACACCTATTTTAGCTGGGCATAGTAGCATATACTTGTAATTACAATATTGAGGAAGCAGAGGTGAGGGAGTTCAGGGTCTCTCTGGCCATTCAGCCTAGCTTACTTGGCAAGCTCTTGGGCAATGAGAAACATTCTCAAAAAAAAAAAAAGAACCATGTCTGAAGAACAGTTCCTAAAGTAAACCTCTGGCCTCCACACATATGCATATTGGCTAATGCACAGGAGACAGTAAACCAACCAAGCTGCTACACTGGCAGTCAAAAAGGCTGGTGTGCTTAGAGTAGGAATAAGTTTCTGAAGACCACACACAGCTAAAGACCCTTGCTGACAGCCCAACGCAGAAATCTTTGCTCCCCAGCTGAAGTGGCGCCTCCATGTGGTGGCAGAAAAACAGCATCTTGAAATCCAAAATAGTGATAATTTGATGAAACTCTTCAGTTGTGCAAAATCCATGTTACACCAAAGTTATTGGCTATTCTATAGTCCACAACTTAAAATTGTCATAACATTTGCCCTGAGTCTTCTATAAAGAGTTTCATCCAAAAAAAAAAAAAGGGTCACCTTTTCTATTAGAATCTTCCTCATGATCTTAAAGATGAAAGAATTTTTAAGGAGTGGGAACTTTCAGTTTTCCAACTAAAATTGATCCCTTGATTTAACTGTCGGTGGTCTGACTTTTAAGACATCAGCCTGAATTAAAATGTTGGGTGGATCTGAATATGTCTTTTTAAACCACGCAAAAACTGCTGAAGTTGTTTTTTTTTTTTTTAATAAAATGCCTAAAGTGCCAATATATTAGCACATATTCCAAGTCCTAGGGAAGTCATACGGTTGTGCTGAAGGGAAAACAGAGTAAGTCTCCACACAAAATGAGCCTCTCTGGATGGCAACTATAAGAAATACAGCTGTAATCTGTGATAGAATCCCCAGTCCCAGCATTTGGTGTTACATGCA